TGAATGAATGAATTAATCAATCAATCAAACCATGATTCAATGTAACAATATATGAATAGAATGAATTAATGAATCAACTAATGGATGAATAATTGTAAAGATTGAGTTAGATAATGAATGAATGAGGAAAATAAAAAATCTAAACTAAACTTACTTCCCAAATTGTCGTTACTGAACTCCATTGCACCGACCACCATCATCTGGTCGGCACACAAGACGTCATCCGAACTGCAGAGTTTCAGTCGAACAGCCAACGAGCTGATTCTTACTCACCACCATCATGAGACCGCCATTTGAAACGTGCTGACTCCCACCACTGCCCACCTCTCATCATTCTGTAGACAAAATTTTTTTAGCGTAGTCGTAAATGAATGTTAGAACGAAAGAACAAACAAATAAATTATTGAATAAATAAATGAGTGAATGAATGAATTAATCAATCAATCAAACCATGATTCAATGTAACAATATATGAATAGAATGAATTAATGAATCAACTAATGGATGAATAATTGTAAAGATTGAGTGAGAAAATGAATGAATGAGGAAAATAAAAAATCTAAACTAAACTTACTTAACAAATTGTCGTTACTGAACTCCATTGCACCGACCACCATAATCTGGTCGGCACACAAGACGTCATCCGAACTGCAGAGTTTCAGTCGAACAGCCAACGAGCTGATTCTTCCTCACCACCATCATGAGACCACCATCTGAAACGTGCTGACTCCCACCACTGCCCACCTCTCATCATTCTGTAGACACATTTTTTGTTATTAGCGTAGTATAAATGAATTTTAGAATCTTAGAAGCAAAAAATTACCAAATAAAAATAATAGCAAACAATATAAAATAATAGGGCAAACTGTAAAAAAAAAAACTTACCGTGCCTTCCGGTTCCTCCTACGTTGTCCTCCAAAACTGGTGCCAGTTCTCCTCCAGATTGTTGTTGATAGAGAAAGATAGAGAATATTCTCATCAGAAAGCTTAGCGGTGCCTGCATCTCAAATTGCTTAATAAAAATAATCCTATCTACCTATTCAATTACCTTAACTAATCTATATTAAATTGTTAATGGTACGATAGTCGAAAGTCCCCCTTCATTCTCCCTCCTTGCACAGAGGTTCACCGACAGCCAGGGCACCGGATAGTAAACCATTGCCGTGCGGATAGCAGACTACTGCCTTGCGAATAGTAAATCATTTGCCGTCCGGAAGCCGTGCGGGTAGTAGACTATGGCCGTGCCGTATAGTAAATCATTACCGTGCAGATAGTAAACCATTGCCGTCCGGGTAGTAAACCATTGCCGGTTCACCACTGGCCACCAAGGCTTACCTCTGACAAGAGACTTTGAAATCCAGAGTCAATCGGCTATCGTACCCTCAACTTACCTATTCATTACAATTAAGCCCTAGCTTACTTAAAATTATAAAACTCAAGAGCCCAATTCATTGGCCTTTCGGCACCCACCCCACCACCTACGTAATGCCTTGGGCTCCAACTTAGTAATAATAATAATATAAAACTTAATAATTAACCTACCTATCGATACACTTACAGCCTTTTATTACATTACATTACAAGATTGTTCCTAGAATTACATTATTGCCCTTAACTACCTATGTAATTAAATTACTCTCAACCTTAGTAATAATAAATTAGAATGTGTAATGAAAATAAAATTACGCTCAAATACTAACATATGTGTTTATGTATGTATTTGTGTGTGTATGTAATACGCTGATGCGTGCAATGTGGGTGCAAGAAAAAAATAGAAGAGATAAACTTACGCGCCTACCTATTCAACTACATTAGTGTTGGATGCTTCTTATCTATTCTACCTACAATTAAAATTATGCTTATCTAACCTACCTATATAGCTACTTAATGTAATTGTGTGTATGTGTGTGTGTGTGTGTGTGTGTGTGTGTGTGTGCGTGTGAGCATTCTTACATTCTTACTTAATGTTAAATTACAGAGAAAAACACAGAGAAAAAAAAATAAAACGTATCCTAGCCAGGCGTGCATTCTTTTCCACTGAATGAATGAACGTAGCCTGTCATCTTCCATGATGAACTCCTCTGGAAGCTTCAACCTGAATGAAATGAATAAAATGAAAAATCTTATTTAATTTAAATAAAAATAGAGAAACGAGCCGCGGTGAAACCCGCCAGCCGGAAAAGCCAGCCAACTGGCAAAAAAAAGAACCGCAAAAAAACCACAAAGAAACCGTAAAACGGACCCCAGTTA